ACACTAAGACACAACTCAGAAGTCCTAGCAAGACAGAAGAGTGTGTGGTACCAGTGAAAACAAGCTATTTATCATAAATTTGCAATGATGGGGTTTTTTTAGCTCTCAGTAGTTCCCTTTTGTGTTTTCTATTTCCCTTTCCCTTTTTTTAATGACCCTCGGGTAGAAGGAGAGGTTTTATTAGTTCTTTCCGTTCTTTTAAGAACATAATTATATATGGATAATTAAGTAATGGTTAATATACCTGCATGCATCTCCATCACATGCAACAAAGCATGCTACTGAAAGTTGCCAATAATGTTGCCCAAATTAAGTACCACTTTATACACATCAAAATTATTAAAAGATCCCTTAAGCCAAGCAATTTGAAGGGTATTGGGGAAAACACTGATATTCAACTTTTACAAAACAGTTCTTAAAATTCAAGGTACATATATCTTATCTCGAGTAGACACCATATAGTAGAAGCTAAATTCTACCTTTCCCCTATTACTAACAAAACCAAAGCAAAGTAAATAGTGTGGCTTTTCCTTCTTATACTGTTCAACTGCATTCAAATGGACCTACTGGACCGTTGGTTTTATGAAGGTGATTTTTATGCAGTGGAAGCAAAGAAAAAGACTTCTAAGAGAGCCCCTAAAAGTGATCTAATGCCAAAACAGGGTCAATCATGTTTCTGGGCCCATTAGGCCAAGTTTCTGACAACTTCTCTGTTTTAACCATACATACATAACATTCAAAAAGCTACAAAGCAGCCTAAGACAGACATTGCAGCACATTTCATTTGTGATTGCTTTTGATTACATTCCCCTCACGTAATTTTAAGAACAATATAAACTACAACAGAAAATATATTTTTCAAACAAAACCAAGAGATTTCACTAACCTTTCTCCCCAAATAAACTATCCAAGTTATGCTGCACCTTATTTTAATTGTTGATTTTGTGATTCATACCTAACTGTGAGCTAAAGTTACAGCTGGTTCTGTTAATCTATACCTTTATATCTAAAGACTATTACAATAAAGTATGCACTGTGCCTGCATGGTATACTGGCACAAAGCCTTGTGTAATTCTGAAAGAGTTCAAACTCAGGTATCCCATAAAAATATTCCAATCTTAGACTCGACACACTAAAAAGCAATTTTTTAAAAAGTGCAGACTAATGAAATTTTCAAAATTAGTACTATTTAATACCTACACGGCTTAAAATTAGACAACTTTACAAACAAGTATAACTTAGCTTCAAGATGCACCACACCCAAACAAAACAGGTAAATTGTTGGGGTTTTTTCAATTCTTTCCAGTTTGTACTGCTCTCACAGTAATTTTGTAACAAATCATGAACTTGCCCTTTCTAAACAGATATTAATGCCTGCCTAGACGAAAGGCATGCAAATGAAGAACTTTATTTTCCAGCAAGTAAAAACATTTACAGTATTAAGAAACTCTAGAAATGTGAACACAGATAAAATAGACCATTCTAATCTTAAAAAGCCATTTTAATTTAATATAGAATTATGTTAAATCTTTCATAATTATGTTTAGACTTTTACCAAAAAAGTTCCCTAGGATATTTTGGAGATGTGTATTGCCATTATCTCCAGATTTCTACCCAGCATTATTAATCTTTCTTTAAAGATTTACCTGCATTACTAACACCAGAAGGCATGTACTTTTGTTACCTGCTAGTGAGGTGTGCGTCCTAACGCCCAGAAATGTCGAAGGTGCCCATTCTTCCCTCAGAGAAAAAAATTAACAGGAATTTCTAAAGTAAAATACCCCCCATGAACTTTCTTCTATATATCCAGAAGACTGTACTTTACATGTTTACTACGATTTTAAGGCATAACTGCCTGCCTAGAATTGAACAGTAGAAACAACCCTCACAACTGGTTAATGAATCATTTCAAATCAATTCTGTGCCAGCACCATTTAGTTCAGAAAACAAAGAGGCCTTGAAAGTATGCCAATAATTAAGACTGAAATATTTCAATAGTTTACAAGAATTTATGAAGGAAAACTCAGCCTTTTGTGTAACCACCCCTAATACAAATAACGGGATGGCTTCTGACCATGTACATCACCTTGCTTTTTATCCCACAGCTTAGCCACAAGCACAACTTACTGGAGTTTTCTTATACTTTAATGCTACTTTTCGAGAACTTGTAAAAGACCAGGATGCAGGGTTAGTTTCTTTGTTAAGTGTACTCTCGATGTGCACAGATGCAGAGCCCAGATAAACCGGAGAGGTGCCAAACGAAACAGAGGAAGTCGATCTTTACCAGCTGTTCCACCCATACTTCTCTAGAAACACCCTCGCAAGTCCACCCTTTCCAATGTCTGTTCTTTGTACAAAACCGAAACTATTTCCCTGCCATGACTTGACCAATTAAACATTACCAGGCGCGGTGGAGAAACCACCCTCCCGGCTCCCTAAAGCTGGAAAACAACTCGCAACGGGATAACGGGATAACGAGACAGTTACACGTCCCCCACAAACACAGCCGTGCTTTTCCCTCCGGCCTGGGAGAGGGGGGACGCTCGCCGAAGGCATGACCACACTCAAGGAAATAAAAGACGAGCCGGGGTTTTTCCCGAAGCCGAACTTTCCTCCCGCCCGAGCTTCCTGGTGTCGGGGACAGGGAAGCAGCCGCCGGGAAGGGACCGGGTAGCGGCCACCGGGACCGTGCGGAGAGTCCCGGGGGAGGGAAGCACAGCCGGGCAGGGAAAGCACCGCCGAGGGCCGTAGGGAGAAGGGTCCGGGTGAGAGAGGAGAAGAGAGGAGAGACGAAAGGGAGAGGTGCCCCGGTGCCCGGGGGGGAAGGTCCCGGGGCAGGGCCGGGGGCGCCGGGCGGGCCCCGCGGCGCGGCCCGGGCGGGATGAGCGGCGGGCGGAGCGGGGACAGCCCGGCCCAGCCGCGGCCCTGCCGCCGGGACGCCCCGGACAGTGGGGCCCGCCGCCCCCGGCCCCAGAGAGCGGGGCGAGGAAGGGAGCGAAGGAATAAAGGAGGGAGGGAGGAAGGGAGACGGCCCCGAGCCAGGGCCCCGCGAGGCCGGGCGGCTCCTCACCTCCGGCGCCCGCCGCGCAGGAGCACAGCAGGATTATCGTCCCCGCCAGATCCATCTCCGCCGGCCGCAGGCCCCGCCGCCGCCGCCGCCGCCTACCCACGGCACATCCGCCCCAGCCGGCGCCGGGATGGGGAGGGGCGAGCCGGGCGCCTCCCTCCGCTTTGTCCCCCGCCGCTCCGGAGGACTGTTCCCGCCCACGGGTCGGCCGCGGATCGGTCGGGCTGTGCTGGGCCGGGTCGGGCTGCGCTGGGCCGGGTCGGGCTGCGCTGGGCCGGGTCGGGCTGCGCTGGGCGACTCTCTCCCAGAGGCGCTGTCCCCGCTCGTTCCGCTCCGCTCCGCTCCCCGCGCTCCCGCTCCCGCCCCGCTCCCTCCGCCCGCGCGCGCTCCCGACGCGGCCGGCGGGGCGGGGCCGCGGGACACGCCCAGAGCGCGCGGCCCGCCCCGCCCCCCGCGGGCCGGGGCCCGGAAAGGGGCGGGGCTACGGTACACGCCCATCCCGCCCCGAATGGACACGCCCCCTGGGGGCGGGGCCTCCGCGGCCGCTTCCGCCGCGCCCCGGGCCGGGGAATTTGGGTCCTTTTAAAGTGTAAACACATCGCACGGGCCGGTCTCCTTTATCCCCCTGACCACGTAAGCGTGGGTTTCCTTGCAGAAACCAATTTGATTTTAGCGTTTTATTTTGGTTTCTTTTATCCCCTTACCACATACACGTTTTTCCTTGCAGAAATTAATTTAGCGTTTTATTCTGGCTTCCTTAACCCGTTTACCAGATACACGTTTTTTTCGTCGCAGAAACTAATTTACTTACTTTTAGAGTTTTATTTTAGCTGCCTGACTTCTCCCGATGTGATGTCAGGTGTTGCAGTGTCCCCACTGAACAGGGACTTGTCATTTTGAGACTGTCCTGAACAGCCTTCATTAACTCAGCTGTGCAGGAAAACCCTCCCATGGAAATACAGATGTGACCCATCCGGACAAAATGTTTCATCTCTTTGTCCACGTGATAATTCTTACATCAACTGTGCCATCTCAAAATTTTATTTTTTACATTAGGGTTTGTGACAAGTTTCTTAGTTTACTGTCAGCCCCTTCTGTTTGTGCTTTTCCACACCTATTGCCACGTCAGAATAAAAAAACCTTCCCCCCTAACACTGTTAGAGTGAGAAAAGCTGTTATATAAACGTACATAGAAAATAAAATTACAGTGAACGTACTTCAGGTAAGGCTACAGAAGTGTTTACAAAGCCCAAATTAGAGATTTAAAAAGGGAGGATAAATTCTTATCGTCCCAAGGCTGTATTTAGAATTTGTGATTAAAAGCTGAAGGTTCCTACACAGGGAGAGGAGAGGTTCATCAGGGTAAAGTCTGAGTAATACATCCACATTAGTTCTTCAGTCATAGAATCATAAAACGCCAAGGGGTTGGAATGGACCTTAAAGATCATCCAGTCCCAAGCCCCTGCCATGGGAAGGGACACCTCCCACCAGACCAGGCTGCTCAAGGCCTTATCCCACCTGGCTGTGAGCACTGCCAGGGATGGGGCAGCCACAACTTCTCTGGGCAACCTGTGCCAGGGCCTCCCCACCCTCACAGGAAAAAAACCTCTTCCTAATACGTAGCCTAATCTTCCCCCCTTTCAAGCCGTCTGTTCAATCTCCCAACTTACCTATCACACTCACCACAACCGTATCTTTTATGGTACGGCGGGAAGCCCCGAACACCCCCGGCAGGGCCGCACTCACCTGCTCCCTGCCCTGCCCTCCGCGCTCCCCGCGCGGGCCCCGCCGTGACCCGCGGCCGCTCCCCCCGTCCCTCCCTCACGTCCCGGCGGGGCGGGGCCGGCGCTGCCGCTGTGATGGCGTCGCGGGCGCTGCGCGCGGAGGCGCAGCCGCTGCGGTGCCGATAGAGAGCGGAGCGGCCGGGCCGGGCATGGAGAGCCTGGCGCAGCCCCCGCCGCCCCCGGGCTCGCTGCAGACGGGCGGCGGGGGCGCTGCCGGCCGGCTCCGCCTGGGAGAGGCGGCGGCGGGCGGCGAGGGCGTCTGCGGGGAGGCCGAGGAGGGCGGCGGGCGGCGCAGCCCTTCCCCTCCGCCGGTCCCCGCTCCCGCCGCGGCCGCTCACACCGCGTCCCCCGCCCGGGCCGCGGAGGACGGCGCGGGGCTGGCGGTGCCCGAGAGCCCCGGGACGGCGCCCGGCTCGGAGAGCGGTCCCGCGGGAGCCGGCTCCGGGAGCAGCGGCGCTCCCAGCCCGCCGGGGGAGGAGTCCCGCAGCCTGGACTCGCTGGAGTCCTTCTCCAACCTGCACTCCTGCTGCCCGAGCAGCTCCGAGCTCAACAGCGACGCCGACGAGGCGGTGGTGGCCGGGGCCTCCTCGGGGGGCCCGGCGGCGGAGCCCGAAGGGGACAGGCCGGCGGCGGGCTCGCAGCTCCTGTCCGCCTCCAAGGAGCGCTTCCCGGGGCAGTCGGTCTATCACATCAAGTGGGTGCGCTGGAAGGAGGAGAACACGCCCGTCATCACCCAGAATGAGAACGGCCCCTGCCCGTTGCTGGCCATCATGAACGTGCTGCTCCTGGCCTGGAAGGTACCGGCGGGCGGGCGGGTGCCGCGGCGGGGCCGGGCCGGGCCGGGCGGGAGCGCTCGGGGCAGCGGAGCCAGCGCGGCGGGAGCGCAGCCGGGACACTTGGTGTTGTTTGGGACAACGACGTCATCGAGAAGGCTGGAGAGGGACTTCTGGCAAGGGCGTGTGGCGATAGGACGAGGGGGAATGGCTTCAAACCGAAGTAGGGCAGCGTTAGAATAAATGTTAAGAAGAAATTGTTTACTGCGAGGGTGGTGAGGCCCTGGCACAGGTTGCCCAGAGAAGCTGTGGCTGCCCCATCCCTGGAAGTGTTCAAGGCCGTGTTGGACGGGGCTCTGAGCAACCTGGTCTGGTGGAAACTGTCCCTGTCCATGACTACAGGTGTTGGAACTAGCTGATCTTTAGTGTCTCTTCCAACCCAAACCATCCCATGATTCTTTCAAGAACATGCAGCTTTATTTTGGCTGTTAAGTACACGTCTCACATGTAGAACTTGGAAAATAAATACTAGCTTGCAGTCTATTGCTTATACTACTTAGATGCTGCTGTCATATGTAGACTTACTTTGTTGCTGTCTTAAAACAGAAATAAAAATTCAGATGATGCTTCCTAAACTGAGCAGTATATGGTTTGCAGATATGTGCAGGTTCCTAGTGAGTACACGTTACTATTTAGAGCTCTGAAAACATAGGTGATATTTTTAGAAAATAGGTTAGTTTCATATAATGAAGTGTATGCAGGGTTGTACGAAATGCAGAATTGCACCAAAGACAGAT